AGGAAAGGGAGAGAAGGAAAGGGAGAGAAGGGAGAAAGGAAGAGAAGTACAGACCTTAAAAAAACCACAGTGACTGAGAACCAGGAAGCGAGGGGGATAGACACACACATGCAGTTACAGAAACAGCTTCACGAAGGACCTGAAGCTGGACATCGTGCCACTGTTAGTGAGCAGATACAAGAGTCACTGATAAAGGGTTCATTTATCATCTCCCATTTAGAGACTAAACAATAAGAAGGAGTAATCATGGCCAGTGGGTGCAGTTCCTTCCCAACTGGCAATGAGCAAACTGGGAAGCGACTAATGAACAAGGCAGGGGGTTGCAGACAGAGCTGAGACTAAACCTGAAGAAGGGGCTTAGTCTTCACCTACATGATGCAGAATCTGAACGGTTTCAGCCAAATATCTACTTACTGACTTAAATAAAGTTCTGGGATGAAACATAGTTACGTGAGCATGCAATTAAAGACCCTTCCAGGACTGTCACAACAGGGTTAATTAAGGCTGAGCAGACAAACTGCATTCTGGCATTTGCCTGCTTTTGCATGTTGATTTCAAAATTTAAATCTTTCAAGCACTTAATCTAACAAAGCAACAAGAATTTGTGACTGACAGTATTCACTAGGCTCCACAAAGCAAAAAAGCACAGCAGACAACAGCAGGCAGAAAGAGATGTGCCTCGTAGGAAGCACAATGGAAAAGGATATGAGTATCTTTAAAAGCAGAAGGTTCATTAGTCTAATTAAAAAACCCTCAAAAGTTCCAAATGCGTACTCAACTCCTCCAAAATCAGTCTGTGAAGTTTACATAAAGGAGAGAGGAGCACGGCTGATTAACCCACAAGATATACCACATTCCTGCACACTCACTACTTTGGGAAGGCATTGGAAAGGGAATTTCAACACAATGATGACAACCAAAAGAAAAAAAAAATGCCCCAAAACAAAACCCCACTATCATACCTCCCACACTGTTAGATTTACTGTCAAATGTTTTGGGTTAAACTTGCCTCAGGCCATCTACAGCTTTTTCAATAACAAAACCAGGTTTGCTCGCTTACTTGACAAATCCAAAGTCCTCACAAGAATAATAAGAAATACTAGAAATGTAAAAGGAAAACACAGCTCAGTTTCCTCTGCACACACAAGCTGCTTAAACAAATGCTATCGGTATTTGAGTTCCACTTCTGGAGGCAGCTACAAACAAAACCTAACGGTGCCTTTGATCTCGTGTGCCAAAGTACTTCTGCCTCCTCAAGCACACAGACTTCGTCCAAAAACCTTTTCATTAACTTAGCTCAACCTTACCAGGCCAGCTAATGTGAGCACAGGCAAAGAAAGGGACAATATCTCATATTCAATAACTCAGTTCATCTCAATTAATTCCTAATTAATCAATCAACACCCTAATACTATTAATTCAATACCTTAATTTAACCTTACAATATCAGGTTTCCCGTACAGGATTCCTCTGCAACTTAATATAACCAGCCCTAAGAAAAATTCTCTTTGTGCTTGCAAAGCTCTGCAGTTTCACCAACCTCAGAAGATCTTCTGACAGACTGTGGATCAAACGCTACCTGGAGACTACCCTTTAAAAGCCATTTTTCATTTTGTTTGAGTATATGTTATGGGTATTTCCACCTACATATCTTCCAAAAGCAAAATGGGAAATGTTGAAGTAATAAACTCAATCTATTAGAACCAGACAGCCTGAATGTGCTGGAAGAGTGCAAACAAACATACCTTCACATATTCTCTTTGCAACATGAATTTAATAATATCCGTTATTGATTCTTTGATGTCTGCAGGAAGCGTCTACGGGAGAAAAAGAAGAAAACAAACAAACAAACAAACAAAAGTCATCTTTACTTCACAATAGCAGCTCAGGAAAATCATCCTACTCAGCATTTATACAAAGTTTAGCACCTACCCTCTTTAACAAAGGAAAACATTTTCCAAAGGACTTGAACAAAGGAAAACATTTTCCCTATTTAGATGAAGGATCTGAAGCAACAGAGGTTAAGTGGTTACACCTCGTAGCTCGTGGCAAAGTACAAAATACAATCCCAATTCTCTATCATGTCAGAACAGGTGATACATAAAGCAACATCTGGAAAAGCAGTGGGCAGGCAAAAGAATTCACTGGTCAAGACAAAAAGGTCAGAACTGGGAGTCATGGGCTCTAGACACAGAAACTCTGACCAACTCATTTATCCTCCTCTCTTCTTCAGTGATGATAATGTTACCTGAGGAAAGGGCACTAAACCCCTGGGTACTTTGAGAGCAGAAGTTAAGTCAGTCTCACAGGATAGGGATGTTTAAAAGTGACTCACCCTTTTCCGAAGTTTTCTGAAGAGTGGCCTCAGGTATGATTCTGTCTGCTTTTGAGTGGCACTGTTCAGCTTCCCCTGTACTCCCCTTTTCACATAGTCTTCTCTGGCATTCAGCTCCTTAGCCCAAACTCCAAGAAGAAACTGTCAAAGGAACAAGCAAATTTATGCCATAGTGCCATCTAGTGACAACTGCAGCAGAACAGACAGGAACAGCGATTTAAACCAACACAGCAAAATGAGATTTTCAGAGAAATTTGAATTAAAAAGGCAAGAAGTCTCTTTCAGAGGGATAGGCAAGGAGGGATATGATAAAAACACGTGGGCAAGGGAGGAGCATGTCTAAAAACACGTGTACAAGGAAACAACAGTGCAGCTTGTTACACAAAAAGAGCAGAAAACTAAGTAGAATGTTGACGTTTCAGGGTAACTTTTGCAAAGGAGCCTAAGGAACCATCAAGATGACTGTGAAAATTCAGCACAATGGAAGGCAAATATGTCAAACATACCTTCACTCCACCTGGAAAACAATTTTGGAGCTTTCTTTGTCTGACTGGCCAGACAAACTATACTAAAATGCCAACATGTCTGATATACACAAAAAAAAGCTTCAACTCTTGCTGACTTCTGATCATCACAATAGTCACACAGGGACCAGGCTGACTCAAATGAGAGGTAACACAGGCTTCTTGCCAGGAAACAAGGAAACAATTTGCTACCATCCACTTGAATCTGTTTCCTCAGCAAAGCCAGCTGACTTCCTTTAAAGTTTTCTCATTTCACATAACTGTACCAGGTGACATTTCACTTCAGCTTGCACTGTTCCTGGGGAAGGGAAGCAGCGGCTCCTCGAGAGTTTTTAATGCCACAGTAGTATATAGAAGCAACTACATACAACTGCCTCAATTATCATATGGAAATCAAAACCATGTTTGTCCTGTCTGGAAAAGTAGGACCAGGTTTTGAAGAATGCTGCTCTCCCAACAGCTATTTCCCAGGTCTAGTAGAAGTCACTATTGTGTCCAACCAAGTTTATTGTTATAAAAATTTTTTATATTTACTAAAAAAATGCAAAACACATCTTAAGCATAATGTGTGAGTTTTTCTCTCCAAGCAGCTGGAACTGTCCCTCCTCTTCACCAAATGCATCTGCATGAAGATATGACACAGGCTACGGAATAATTAATCTACTAAATCAGAGTTTGTTACCTTCAAGAACTTTGTTATGATGTCCATATCATAGTGATCATCACCCCGTCCTAAGGATTCTCCCAAAGCCTACAACAGGAGAAAAAAGGCAATTATTTCCACGTTGCCCAGAAGGCTGCTGCCACCACCACCACCACAGCAGTGTGAACTGCAACAAACTCCACTGGCAATCCAAACCACTAGCTGGGAAATGGATTGAAACAAATATATATGTAACTGAGATTCATTAATCTATGAAAAACATTTAAGTCAAAAAAGCAAATACGATTATTTCTCAAAAGTCAAAGCAACAGTAATTTTTCATTCATTAACTACTAAATTATTGGCATAATTAGCAGCTGTCTGACAGCACTGTACTAACGGGGACTGTGGGTGTATTGCATTTTTGAGATCCCCAAAGCCATCAATTAACCTAATTACTTTGTTAAGCTACTTCAATTCTGTGATGTACTGGGGCTTTGTACCATTTAATTTGGTCGTAACTGTGAAATTGAGGGAACAAATCTAAAAAAAACCAAAAAAACCCACCAAAAAACCCCAACAGTATGCTTCAAAACTCTAGCTTTCTGCCACAGCCTTGAAACTTGTTCATACTAACAGCATTTTAAGAAACATTTTCCAGCAGGTACAGTTGGATTTATAATCTGTTTCCATTATCCTCACATTTCCAAAGTGAGTTTTATTAAAAAAATCTCTTAGATTTGGAACCAAATTCCAGGTAAGCCTTTATTGCTCAAGGGAATGCAGTTAAAGTAGCATAAAATTAAGAGTGGGGTGTTTTCAAACTTTTGAGAAAAAATTACTTCCATGGTTCAAACCAAGCCCGCCCTACTACGTTAAAAAGGGGCTATTTTGAAAACTAACAGATCAGAAAGTGCAGCTCCATTACAGCTGGGGAACTACAGTTATTTTATACAGAACCCCTCATGCCCTAACAGAAAAGTTAAAAGCTATTTCCTAATAATAATGTATTCATTTAAGCTTTCAGTTATAAATCAGATTATTTCTTAAACACATATCTGGAAGGATGATATGAAGATTAACTTCTGCAAAAAGTTTTGAAGATTAAGGGTAAGAGTTTTCAGCTCAAGTGAATGTGTTTTTCAGAACATTACCCTGAAATACCCATGTATGAATACATCTCATGGCACTCATTCTCTGCTTACTTACAGAAATGCTGTGGTGTTCTTTCTGGGACACATCGTTTCTGCACTTCTTGTATTTCCTGTCATCTGCCTACTTCTGATGTCCACTTCTTTTTTGTCCTGTATGCTTTTATATCAAACATTCTTTCTGTGTGTTTATTTTTTAGAGTCCATCTTTCTTGTATAAGGAAAATTCACTGGTACTAAGCTTATTACCCTCTCAAATACCCATTGAAAACCTAAATTCCCTAACAGGGCTTATTTAACTAATTTTCTGAATGCCTAAGTTAGCTATTGGAAACAGGATAACTTTGTCTAAATAATCCTGAAGCTTTCTCACAGTGATGTAATGATATACTTCATCTAAAATCCCCTAATTACAATCTACCCATCACATACCTCCAGTTCTTCAATAGTTGTATTCTCCTCATGGACTTTCAAGTCATTCTGTGAGTCATCGTCTCCTGCTTCTTGGCCACCTACGATTTCATTCAGATACTGCTGGTCAATCTTATCCAAAGCAGCTTTCAGGTCATTTCTCAAGCCCTGGAAAAGATAAGAAATTACTAATTTTCAACAACAACAACAACAAAAAAAAAACAACTGAAGAAAAGCAATTCAGTACTGTCACTGTGAGCATCCAACTTCCATTTAAGAAAAGTCAAATTATGTAAAAACATGCACAAAACATTGCTGTCTGAATTTAAACTGAATCAAAGAACAGTCTCCAGATTGCTTCAGCACTTCAGAAAAAGCAGGTGCATGAACTTCTGCAATGTTCATACCTTTGGAGACTTTTTACTGTATTTTCACCAGAAAAGCATGGAGGACAATCAATTCCTAGAACTTTCTTCAAGACATTATCTCCAAGCAATGCACTGAACCACCCCAAAGCAAAGAGAAAATGTACCATAACCATCATCAGCTCTACAAGTCCTCACATCTGTCCTGAAAAAAGCTGTATATAAGGTAACACTCCCTCAGTATAGTCACATAAACCATTTATGTCTTCCCTTTATTATCAATGATTTAAACATAGCAGAATGTTTTCTATAGATTGTGTTTAAAATCCCCTACTCTAGAATAGGTGATTAAAAAAAATGACATATATGGTTTCAAACTGATGCTATAGTTACAAGCTGCTTTTAAACAGAACCAGAAGCTCTGCTTAGTCACAGTTAGAGGACCTGCATTCTTCTCTTGCCACATAAAAGATAAAGCTCTATAAAGCAACATGACATTTCTTACCCTAAGATAAATTCAGCCACTCCACTGGGAATACATATGCACAGTTATTTCCCCTCTTCCATCCTCATACCTGACTGTCTGGAACGTTTCTATTAATCACTTTGTAGTCTAAAAATGTCTAAACCACAAACTGGTTCTCGTGACTATCTACATTTTAAGCAACACACAGCAACAGGAGTGACTGGAACATAACACACAAATCCAGCACAAACCTATTTATGAGCTCCCCATTTCACAGAATCACACAATCACAG